TCTGGAGTACTAATAGGTTTTACAATGTCATCATCTGAGATTTCTTCTAACTCAACTTGATCCTTCTTTTCTGGTTGCTTGTTACCAATGGAGCTCTTTGCAAGTTCATCCTTGTATAGAACATTCTCATTGAACACCACATCCCGACTTCTGATAACTTTCTTATTCTTATTATCCCAGAAGCGGTACCCCATGTCATCCAACCCGTAACCTATAAAGGTGCACTTCCTTACCTTTGCCTCTAGCTTATCTCTCTCCGAGTATTTAACTTTGACATACGAGACACAACCAAATACCTTCAAGTGTTTGAGAGAAATCTCCCGACCTTGCCATTCTTCTTCTGGAATCTTGAACCCTATGGGGACTGAGGGTCCTCTATTGATTAAATATGCAGCTTTGTTGACCGAATCTGCCTAGAACATCTTGGGTAAACTTGCATGTAGTCTCATGCTTTTATCCCTCTCGTTCAATGTGCGGTTCATCCTCTCCGCTACTCCATTTTGCTGAGGTGTCTCCTGAACCGTCTTCTGCATTCTGATTCCTTGGTCAGCATAATAATCAACAAATTCTTTGCTACTGTATTCGCCCCCATTGTCTGATCTGAAGCACTTGATTTTCAAGTTTGTTTCATTCTCTATAATAGCTTTCAATTTCTTGAATGTGCTGAAAACTTCAGACTTATGCTTCAAGAAATAAACCTAAACTTTCCTTGTTCAGTCGTTAATGAAAGTAACGTAATATCGGGACCCTCCCACTGAAGAAACTGAAGTGGGCCATAAACATCTGAATGAACTAACTCCAACTTCATGGAGTTGGGCGGATTTACTATCTTTGTGAAAGTAACCTTCTTCTATTTGCCCAGAATACATGGCTCACAGAAGTAACTGTCACAGTCTTCAGATCTGGTATTCTTCCTTTGGATGCTAGCATCTTCATTCCTTTCTCACTCATATGTCCAAGTCTTTGGTGCCATAGAGTGGATATCCCAACTTCTTCAACAACATGTACTTCAGCATCAGAAACTTCGACCATATATAGTGTACCCCGCTTTTGACCTCTAGCAACAACTAAGTTTCCCTTTGTTACTTTCCACTGATGATCACCAAATTTAACATGGTGACCTTCATCATCAAGCTGCCCCACAAATATTAACATCCTCTTCAAGTCTGGAATGAACTTGACATTCTTCAAAGTCCACTTCGCACCCAAGGTTGTCTTGAGGACCACATCCCCAACTCCAGTAATATCCAGGCTCTTGTTATCTGCTAATATGACTTTCCCTTTGTACTGCTTGAAATTATGCATTACTTCTCTGGAATGACTAGCATGAAACGACGCACCATAATCCATGCTCCAGGATTCAGTTGAGTTTTCAACACAACAAATGAGTGCATCATCTTCAGAATCTGCTGCCATATTTACTTCCTTCTTGCCTTTGTCTGTCGAAGGCTTTGGGCACTGATTTCTGAAATGACCTTTCTCATTACATTTCCAACATGTAATATCTTTCCTATTCTTCGACTGACCTCTCTTTCTTGACTTTGATCTTCCTCTACCACCACCTCCTATGTTGGTCTTTCTTCCTCTGCCTTCAGTAGTTAGAAGACTACTGGAAGCTTCTCCGGCATTCCTTCTGCACACATCCTCACCAAGGATTAAATCGCGAATACCTTCGAATGATAGCTTGGCACCTCCGGCTGAACTGCTAACGGCCGTCACTGTGCCGGACCAACTATCAGGTAACGATGATAATAGTAGCAACGCCATGACTTCATCTTCAAATCCAATATCAACAGATATCAATCTTGATATTGTTGAGTTGAATTCGTTCACGTGGTCTGTCACTGAGCTACCCTCCTTCATCTTCAGATTTACAAGTTGCCGAATCAAGAAAACCTTATTTTCCACTAAAGGTTTTTCGTACATATTAGACAACGTATTTATCAGATTGTAGGTTGTCTTCACATTGACAATATTGTAAGCTACATTCTTTGCCAATGATAACCTTATCACTCCGAGTGCCTGCCGATCTAATAAGTCCCACTCCTCCTGCGTCATCGCTTCGGGCTTGTCTTTAGACAAAGGCTGGTGTAACTTCTTCTGGTAGAGATAATCTTTGATTTGCATTCTCCAGAAACCGAAATCTTGACCATCGAATTTTTCGATCTTAACTTTCTCATCTTCAGCCATAGCTCTGATACCAGTTTGTTTGGAATATACCAAACAAGTTAAGAATTTCGAACAAAACGATTAACGATTTTGGTAACACTCGCGGAATAAAAACTACTAAAAAATTGCAAACGAAATTGAACACAGTATTAAACGTGGATCGGTCTAATCTGACCTACATCCACGGGCGAACGAGAGAGATGGGATTTTATTAACACCAAAGAAAATTACAATCATAGAAGGCTAAGAACTGCACTTGTAATCTGATCGCCCACTGTAAGGTATCACTCGTATTTTAACTGCCGAAAATAAAATACAACCTCACTATTTCTTTTATGTGTATATATGATCGTTGTGTTGTGCTCTCTGCTATTTCTACTTACAACATATATATATATATATATATATATATATATATATATGTTGTGAGCCGTAATAATAATTCACTCTAATGTGAAAGTGAATACCCACCATTTGACATTTGTAAATTGTCTACCAAAGGAAGAAAATAGCCTCCTTGAAAATATGTGTAACTTGAAATAATTCATATGCATTTAATGTTGTTTTTCTGCAGCCGAAACAAATTTCTTTTTTCACATGAGAGTCGGTGATAGTGACGTTTACCCAACAATTCAATTCAAATGTTAATTTCCAAGTTACATATATGGCCCTTTAGCTCTTATGAACTTGTCAATATGTTCATGACTCCATAAATCTTAACATTTTCACCTATAGGCATTCCTAGATATGTGTCTGGGAAGTCAGATGCGTGGCAATCAATATGACTTGTCATACTTTCCACTTCTTCATTACTAACTCCCACTCCATATAACTTGCTTTTTTGTATATTTATTTTCAGACCCGATTGTCACGTTCGATATTGTAGACTCTTCCGGAGTACTTGAGAAAGAGAAAGAACTTACAAGTATAGCCCAATAGACATTGGAACGTCCTAGATTTCTCTAGGACATCGAAGAATGATTTAGCACATTTCATGAAGACTTGTAAATACATGTAGCTTGGTAGAATAATCTAGATTATTCATGAATGTAATACAAATGTAGTAATATCCAGAAACTTCCCTAGAGGGAGAAGAACAAGTATAAATAAGGAGGAGCTCATATGCTCCAAACCATCGGAAGTTGCTTTGTATTCTCTCGAGCTCTTATAATAAAAGTTCTCTTTCGTTTGTAGAAACTCGAAAGCCTTATTCTCTTGCTTACTTAGTCGTTTATACATCTCAATGAAGCGTAGTAAGCCTAACTTAGTTGAAGTTACACTAAGTGGCACACAAAGATTGAATCGTCTCGTGACACGTGGTATCAGAGCTAAGTTCTGCAAGCAAGAGATCGTTGTTATGGAAGGAGGAAGCGAAGTTTCCAACATTCCCCCTCTCGCCGAGGAGAAGGGAAGGAAGTCCAAGAAGAGGGACCAATTGGTAGATGCCTTGGCAAGTTTAGAAAACAAGCTTACAAGGGTGGAGATTAACTTCGGTGAGATCCTTGAGTGGAAGGATACCGTCAAACAGTTTATGGGAGATACAAATGATATGAGTGATGGAATGAAGGAGTCCATCAGTTTCATCAAGGAATAGGTACTCGTGTTGATCAATCCCTTGAGAAATGAGTTCCGTTAGAAGATAAGCACTCTAGAAGATGAAGTAAAGTTATGCAAAGCAGCAATAGCCGGAGGAGCTGTTACAAAAACGACGCCACACACAGAAGCACCTAAACCCTCGAAATATGGAGGTAAGCATGATCCTAAACCACTCAAAGAATTTTTCTGGTCCCTAGAATGTTATTTCAATGCTATCGGAGTAAAGGAGGACAAGTCCAAAATAGACACGACCGTTCTATACTTGAGTGAAAACGCAACACTATGGTGGAGGCGGAAGCATGGTGACTTTGAGAAAGGCATATATGTCATAGATAGTTGGGATGAGTTTAAGAGACAACTAAAGAAACAGTTATGCCCCCATAATGCTAAAGACGTAGCCGTGAAGAAACTTCAAGGATTGAAACATGTCGGGTCTACTAAAGATTATGTGGCATAATATACCGCCTTGATGCATGAGTTACCCGATTTACAAGAGAAAGACAAGTTATTTTACTTCCAAGATAGACTACAATCTTGGCTTCTAATGAGCCGAAGAGGAGGAACGTCCAAGATGTTGATGAAGCTATAGCAGTGGCGGAAGACCTTATGGACTTCCAAAGAGATACTCCGGTTAGGAAACCTAGTGGGGGAGAGAGACCCACAACTAGGCTCAAGTGCTATTTATATGACGGCCCCCATCTAATAAGAGATTGTCCCAAGAAGCAAAGTTTCAACGCTATGGTTTTATAAGATGAAAAGGAGGAAAGAGACGAGGCACAACTAGGCTCCATGCGACTCCTCAACTAGGTCGCAAAAGAAGAGGTCCACACAAAGAAAGGAAGAGGATTATGTTTGTGAAAGTAAGTGCAAAAAACAAATTCACTAAAGCCTTAGTACACACAGATGCGTCCCACAATTTCCTTTCTAAAAATGAAGCTGAAAAGATGAACATTCAATACACCAAAGAAATAGGTTGGTTCAAAGCTGTCAACTCTCCTTCCGAGCCTATTCTTGGAGTCGCTTATGGAGTAATTGTCGAGATCGGAGGATGGAAGGGTCCTATCAATTTAACCGTAGTACCTATGGATGATTATTTCAAGATCATGGGGATGGAGTTCTTCGACCATGTACGCCCTTTCTCGTTCGAAGATCAGACCATGCGTATCACCAAGGATTCAACTATACACATCGTACCCTTAGAAAGAAGCAAAACGGAGTCTCGGATCTTATCATCCATGCAACTCAACAAGGGACTAAAGAAAGGAGAAATGACGTACTTAGCAATGTTGAAAGAAGAAACCATCCCTCCCAACGAAGAAATTCCAAAGAAAGTGAAAGAAGTACTGGAAGAATTTAAGGACGTGATGTCACCAGAGTTGCCAAAGAAGTTACCACCGAGAAGGGAACTGGATCACGAGATAAAACTCGAGCTCGAAGCTAAGCCACCAGCAAATGTCCTGATAAAATGGCTCCACCTGAGTTGGAATAGCTAAGAAAGCAATTGAAAGAGCTACTAGATTATGGATTTATCCGCCCTTCAAAGGCCCCATTTGGTGCCCTAGTCTTGTTCCAGAAGAAACATGATGGAAGTCTAAGAATGTGCATAGACTATCGGGCACTAAAAAGTAACGATAAAGAACAAGTACCCTATCCCACTGGTAGTTGATCTATTTGACCGCCTTGGGGGTGCACAATGGTTCACAAAGCTGGACTTAAGGTCGTGATATTGGCAAGTACGCATAGCAGTGGGGGGACGAGCCGAAGATGACGTGTGTGACAAGGTATGGATCCTATGTATTCTTAGTCATGCCGTTTGGATTGACCAATGCCCCTGCCACATTCTGCACTTTAATAAATAAGATATTCCACCCATTCTTGGACAAATTTGTGGTGGTGTACTTGGACGACATAGTAGTTTACTCGGAGTCGTTAGAGGAACACGTTGAACATTTGCGGTTAGTCTTCCAAGTACTTAGGGAAAACCAATTATACGTAAAGATGGAAAAGTGCTCCTTTACCCACCCAGAAGTGACGTTCCTAGGGCATAAGATCATTGATTGGAAGATCCATATGGATAACAACAAGATACGAGCAATCAAAGAATGGGAGCCGCCAAAGAACGTTTCTAAACTATGATCGTTCTTAGGCCTTATAAACTACTATCAAAGATTTATATCCCGATACTCAGCTAGAGCCACTCCACTTACCGACCTTCTCAAAAAAGAAAGTGACGTGGGAATTGAAAGAACCCCTTTCTAAACTTTCGTACTAAAGACATTGTCACTCCAAAACATGCTACATGCATATTTATAAAACAATATCTTACATTGATAAAGTGATTACAAAAGATTGGATACAAACCGACTATGTTTTAGTATATTACATAACTACCCAGGATATTGTAATTTTACACAAACCTAAACCGAAATACAGAAGTAATAGTAAAAACTATTCTACATCTTCCGACAGTATATAACCATACTGGTTACTTATCTCCTGCAAATTTGTTAAACATTGAGAGGGGTAAGCGGTGACGCTTAGTGAGTTCAATAATAGATACAATATAACGTTATGCCATATATATACCTCAATATGGCAGAAGCAAAGAGGAACAAGGAACAACAAATGCATATGTGAATCATGAGACAAACTTTCCATATCAATCAATGATTTGATACAAAGATATACGATCAATAAAGCTTCGCCCAAATGGCACAGAAGACATACACTTTCTGATTTAAACATTTCGGTAGATTTCAGGCTTATAGCCCTGTCTAACCATCTGCCAATGCCATAGAGTAGAAGTCATTCTCTTACAGAGACATGCTCTACCTGGCCAGAGGCTACGTACCAGTACCACCGTGAATCTAAGTCCTTTCACTGATCACATGGTCAAAGGTATAGCTTTGCTATCATAAATAGCGGAAATAAAATGACATGGGAAAATAACCCGGAATAATAATACTGAAAAGCACATAGCACATATAACACATAACATATAATTGTTCCTATATATTAAACTCACCGTGAAATAACCGGGTGTTAAAATAGTAATTTGGGCAGCACTTCGGCTCTAAATATGACTTTCTGTGACGAAACCGAGAATTTTAGATGAAAACCGGCCTTACATGGGTAGAATTTCGGCTTGTAAATATAATTTTATCAGGAACTTCAGAGCGTCGGGGCTTGCTTCGGGTGTCAGGAATGATATTGGGGCTTCTGGGGGTTAAAAGTGGGCAAAAAGGGGTTTTAGAGTGAAAGGAAATGAGAAAATGTAACATAGTTCCGGAGACCCTCGGTCTCTATTTATAGGGGACCGAAGCTGCTGACTACGCTGAGCGTAAGTCCTCTGTACGCTGGGCGTACTACGAGGCGGCCATCTATGCGGGGCGTAGCATTCGTACGCGGGGCGTACATGCGAGGCGTGTCCTCTGATCGGAACCCGGGTCTCGGACGTGGCAATCTTACCCGATACGTGGCATCCGAGTGGAGACCGGCGACGTGGCTGATCCGAGGCCCTGCAAGTGCGAAGTACGATGGGCGTACGAAGCTAAGTACGTTGGGCGTACCCTTCGGATAAGGCTTCGAATTTTCATTTATTTTTATTAAAAACTTCGAAAATTCATATCTTTTGCGTACGAGCTCCGTTTTTGACGTTCTTTATATCCACGCGTAGGTAAGATTATGGTCTACATATTTCGTTTAGACTCCGTCGACTAATTTTGACTTCATTTTTAATATTTTATTTTAAACGGGCCGGGACAGGAAAAGTCCGTTAAAAATTCATAACTTCTTCATCTGACGTCCGTTTTCTTCTGTCTTTTTACCGTTGAACTACAATCGACGAGATCTTCGATTCTCGTTTAGGTTGTGTCGGCTAAAAATCACTCGATCTTTATTTCGAGTTTTTTAGCTGTCTACTGCTATTCCGAAACTTAGAAAAATCATAACTTCCTCATACGAAGTCAGATTTTGGCGTTCTTTTTATCAAAATTCTCGGTTTAACAAATACTACGACTTTCATTTAGATCACCAAGGCTAAAAAGTAGTTTATCAAAAACTTACTTTTTACGTCATTCGGCGTCGTGCCGGTTTTGTCGCGGATCTTCGATTGGTCATAACTTCTTCGTTATAACTCGGATTTCGATGAGGTTTTCGCCTAAATGTTTCTAACGAGATTCTTTACAACTTTCAATGATAAAATTTTACTTATTTTAAATTTTATATTTTCGTTAAATTTCAATATTTGTCTAATGTTTGGAATCTCATAAGACTTCCAAAACATTCTGGATGATTCTAAACATAGTTTTACTTCATTTCTAGTAAAAACTATCCGTTAGAACTCAATACCCATAATTATATAATATTTAATAATATTATTTACTTAAAACACGATTTGAAAACGTGTATGTTACAGGAATGGACTGAGAAGTGTCAAATGACATTTGATGATCTAAAGAAAGTTGTCATGAAGGAACCAATCTTGAAACTACCAGACTATGCGAAACCATTCCACGTACAAACAGATGCGTCAGACTTCGAGATTGGGGGAGTGTTATTACAAGATGACCATCCAGTAGCCTACGAAAGCTGGAAACTTAATGACATAGGACGGAGATAACATGTACACGAAAAGGAAATGAAAGCAATCATACATTGCCTTCGAGTATCGAGACATTATTTTCTTGGGAGTCGGTTCGGTATCCAAACCGACAATGTGGCAACTAGTTACTTCCAGAATCAGAAGAAACTAAGCCCTAAGCAAGCTCGTTGGGAAGATTTCTTGGCAAAATTTGATTATATCATGGAGTATAAGCCGGGAAAAGTCAATGTAATTGCCGATGCTCTGAGCCGAAAGGCTGAACTAGCAACCCTCACTCGAATAACATGTGATCTTGCTGACCGAATCAAGTAAGGGTTAAGCCATGATCCACTAACGAAGAACTTGATGGAAATGGCGAGCGAAGGCAAGACAATAAAATTTTGGGTCGAAGATGGACTATTATTCACGGTCGGTAATCGAATGTATGTCCCAAAATGGAACAACTTGAGAAGATAAGTCTTGAAGGAATGTCACGATTCCAAATGGGTTGGACATCCGGGCACTCATCGTACGAAAGCAATCATAGAACGATCCTATTACTGGTACAATATGCGAAGTGACATAGGCGCATATGTGAGAACTTGTCTTATTTTCCGACAAGACAATGAGGAACAAGCCAAACCGACAGGTTTGTTGGAGCCACTACCAATCTCTAAACGACCATGGGAGACTATATCGATGGACTTTATTTCATCATTACCCATATCTGAAGGGTGTGGCTCTATAATGGTGATTGTAGATAGGTTCATAAAATATGGAACGTTTATTCCAGCCGCCTGGGAATGAACAGCTGAAGAAGTAGGATGGTTATTCTTCAAACATGTTGTGAAGTATTGGGGACTTCCCCAAAACATTATAAGTGATAGAGATCCCCGCTTTACAGGGAAGTTTTGGAGAGAGCTATTTAAGCTAATAGGATAAGAATTCCACTTCTCGACTATTTTTCGCCCTCAAACCGATGGCCAAACTGAGAGGGTGAATCACTTTCTCGAGATTTATTTAAGGCATTGTGTCAGTGCAAACCAATGGAATTAGGCCAAGCTAACTGATGTGGCCTAATTTTTATATAACTTGCAGCAGAAAGAGACTACGGGGAGGAGTCCTTTCGAGATTGTAACGGGTCAACAACCATTGATGCCCCAAGAGCTAACAAAAGGCTACAAAGGATCAATCCCACCTCCATACAAGTTTAAAAAATGATGGAATAAAGAGCTCGACATAGAAAAGTCTTACTTACGCAAGGCAACCAAGCGAATGAAGAAATCGGCGGACGAGAAGAGACATCCAAGAGAGTTCATAGTAGGAGACAAGGTGATGGTAAAGCTTCTACAAACGATGTTCAAATCTACCCGACAGGTTCACAAAGGCTTAACACGAAGATACGAGGGGCCTTACAAAGTTCTCGAAAAGGTCGGGACCCGATCATACAAGCTAGAATTTCCATCCCACTTAAAAATTCATCCTGTTTTCCATGTAAGTCTCCTCAAAGCTTATAATCGCGATGAAGAAGATCCATCAAGAAGAAAATCATATCGATCCCTAGTAGCAAACGTAATCTCCTATGACAAGGAGGTAGACGAGATCTTAGCTGATAGAATGGTTCGCAAACGAGGCTCACCCAATTGGATAGAATATTATGTTCGATTGAAGAGACTATCTGATAGTGATTCCAGTTGGGAACGTGAAAAAGATCTGTGGCAGTTCTGAAGCAAAATCGAGGAGCACCTATCTAAGACTTGACGAGGACATCAAGGACATAGGTGGGGGAGGGTGTCACGTTCGAGATTCTAGACTCTTCCAGACTACTCGATAAAGTGAGAGAACATACAAGTATAGCCCAATAGGCCCTGGAACGTCCTATATTTCTCTAGGAAATCGAAGAATGATTTAGCACATTTCAAGAAGACTTGTAAATACATGTAGCTTGGTAGAATAATCTGGATTAGCCATTAATGTAAGACTAATGTAGTAATATCCAGAAAATTCCCTAGAAGGTGAAGAACAAGTATAAATAGGGAAGAGATCATTTGCTCCAAACCATCGGAAGTTGCTTTGTATTCTCTCGAGCTCCTATAATAAAAGTTGTCTTTCGTTTGTAGAAACTCGAAAGCCTTATTCTCTTGCTTACTTAGTCATTTATACATATCAAGGAAGCGTAGTAAGCCTAACTTAGTCGAAGTTACACTAAGTGGCACACGAAGAGTGAATTGTCCCGTGACATGATGCCCAATAGGAAAGTCTCATAAATCGAACATACTCAATAACATTCTTTAAAGACCGACCATTTACCCATAAAAAAGTGCATCATCCACATAAAACATGTGTGTGAGGTCCATGACTGTTTATCCAATACTAATCCCATCAATAACACCTTTTTTAATGCTTCAGATAGCGCGACATTCAGTCGCTCCATGGCTAGAACAAAACGAAAAAGCAAAATAAGATCTCCTTGTAGAAGCCTCTAGTTAGGGAGAAACTTTGTCAAGGGGTAACGTGATGGGTATTCTAGGTTACCAAGTTATTTCCATAACGAAATTTTATATAAACACTTATGGGTACATGCAACCTATAACTCTATGGAATTTTCTCAAGTTATTGAAATATACTTATGAAACAATCGTATATCCTATGTAATATCGAAATTCGTATGGTTAGAATACATACCTTCTTGAATTAATCGAATAATGCAAACAACTCTCTTGAAATATTCCTTGGAAATCAAGCACCAATAGTGTGGATGCCTTTAATGGTTCACACCCAAAACCCTATAACACTAGAATTCAAGACGACAGAGGTTGGATGAAGATAAATTTCATTCTCCACCTTATGGGAAGTGAGAATCACAAAATATGATGCCCAAACAGAGGTATTTATATCGAGGGAATCTCCAGGATAAACTCTGATTTGAATTTTTAAATAGTCAAATTTTATCACACAATTATCCATATTAGCTATAGGATGCTTCTAGAAACCCTAAAATCGTCCATACCATGGATGGTTCTAGAATTGCCTTACCTTGCTCAATCATGAACAATTACAAATCATTAATTGCACCTTTAATTAACTCTAGTTAATCTCGAATTAATTCCAGAGTAATTCTGATTAATAATTAATTAATTCCAACCATTTCTAATTAATTTAAATTTAATTATTAACTATTTCTAGTTAATATATTAATTATGTAATATATTAACAAATTATTTTATCTCTCCCCTAGAATCAATTCTAGCTAGTTCTGGTTATGAGGGAAACCTAAAAAGGATTTTACTGTTATTCACTAAGATTATACCAATTAAGTTAAGACCTTAGACACCTTAATCCAACAGTCTCCCACTTAAATCAATACTTACTCCCAGAAGTATGACTGAGTGTGACATTTCAAATTAATTAGTATTCAGGAAGTAACGTGTGAAATGAAACACAATAATAAACTAATTCTCCACGGTATAATACTATTGAATATAAATAATTCCTTATCATTTAATCACCATACAATTACAAATTTATTGATTGTATAAATTTTTTGGGGTAATAGACTTAACAACTAAACTTTTCAATCATTTCACATGCCTATGCTCTTAGCATGCACATCATGGTTTCTTTTGGTCATCAATATTGTGAACAAATCATTAGGAAGATACTCACTTCACAACTAGATCTCCATCCGCAACCCTTTTCTTAGATGTAGTAGAATTTCCTCCTTCAATGTATTGACCTTTTGTGGTCTCAAGAATCGTTAGTGAATGCGACTGTACTTTCACAGAATATTTCCAATGACAATTTGTTACTCAAAACAACTCCAAGGTCAACTATGAAGTTTTCTAGTCCAGGTACTTCACTTACACTAATGTAATCGAACTCATATTATTGAGTCTACCACCATATCCTACATGAAACCTTTCATGCTACCACACTACAATTCAAAATGAATGTCCATTTAGACTATGACTCTAAGTCAACCCTAAAAATTCATGTTACATAGCTTTTCTTATTCATGTTCTCTACTGTCTACAAGCAACCAGTCCTTGGTATTTCTCAAATACCTCAGAATGTCCTTGACAATTGTCTAGTGATTTAGCCGAGCATGTTTCTAACACAATCTCATGATGCTCAAAACATCTTATACATCAGAATAAGAACCTATGATAGCATGCATGATTGATCCTATATATGAAGCATTTGGGATTCGACTCATCCTATCCTTTTCATGACTAGAACAAAACTTTGAGATTCACTTAGGTCCTTGCTATGATACATATGAGAAATTTCTTTCTTGGAATTTCCATTGTTGAAACCTTTCAACACATTATGATTTGACTGAGTCCTGTTGAACATTTCGATCTATACTTTTAGATCCAAAGATCAAGTATTAATGTCGCTTCCCCTATGTCCATCATAGAGAAACAATTTTCGAGCCTTTGCACTTTGCAACTTAAGGATAATGTTTCTTATGAGTAGTACTGTCATCAACATGCAATACCAGGAAGAAAGCTACACTCCCACTAGCTTGTCATGCGTACTCAAGACTCGTCTGGACATCTAGAAAGACACCACTATTTGATCTTCTCACAGAAGCATATTTTCCTTGTCATGCGATGCTTGTTTAAATCTATAAGTATACTTCCCAAGTTTACACACCTTTTTTGGATACTTTTTATGTGTAAATCCTTTTAGGATGTGTCATACGTCCTCCGAAAGTTTCCTATTAAGGAAATTTATTTAAACAACCACTTTACCACATATTTAAATCAAAGATGGCAACAATGATAACAAATATACAAATAGACCTTTTCTCAACTACTGGTGAGAATGTTTCCTCATAACCAATTTCTTGAGTCTAAACGAAGCCCTTTTCCACCATACTAGCTTTGAATGTGTATACATTTTTATCCGTGTTAGTCTTTATATAGACGATCTAATTACAACCCACTTTCATAAGACTAGGCTTTGGATCAACCAATTTCAAACTTAGTCATCCTTTATGGACTGAATTTCACTATCCTTATACCCTTCTCGCT